GCTCAGGCAATCCACTCACCTCAGCCTCCCAAAGGCGCGGGATTATAGGCTGAGCCACTGTGCTAAGCGTTTTTAAACATCTCATTTAATACACATACATAATTTTTTTAAAAAGTGGTGGAATAATCAGTACAAGGACCAGGAATGGACGGATTTTACCTTGGAAAATAGGAAAGATGTCACAGAGCAACAGGATAAGTTGATCAGGGCATTCTAGGTAGAGAGACAGGGAAGACTAGCATGCTTCAAATAGAGTCCAATATATCGGGGAGGGGAAGGATGCAAATGGGAAGGGTAAGGACAGATAATGTGAAAAATGAGCCTGGAAAGATAAACAGAGACCAGGCCATGGAAGCACAAAAGAAGCCTAAACTTTAACCAGAAGCTAAGAGAAAGACCCATTGAAGAGTTTTGGAGTCAAGTAGCCATGGACTAAACAGGAAAAGACAACAACAGCAACAACAATGAAAAAAATGTTAAAAAATCAATAAATGTAATGGTGGTTTGAAAGATGGAGTAGAAGGAGAAATTCTAAAGGCAGGATGGCTGGGGAGGAGACAACTATAGTAGTTTTCTTAGGATAGTGGTGACAGAAGAGCAACTGGGAACATGCTTGAGAAACACAAAGGAGGTCAACGCCACTGGATGCACATGAACAGGGGGAAAGTAGTAGGAGTTGTCAGAAGTAACAGGAGATCAGATCATAGTGGGCCTTGCAGGCATTATAAGAACTCAGCCTTTTCCTCTGGGTGAAGTAGGAAGCCACTGAAAGGTTTTGAGCAGAGGAGTGACTCAATTCGTTCTACATCTTAATAGGATCACTGTGATTATTCTTGTGCAAGAGTAGAAAGAGGGGTACTCTTCCCAGGTTGGGAAGTTTGGGAATAACTCAGGCTACAGATGATTGTGACTCGGACCACAGTTGTGGTATTGAAAGATTACCTGATTGAATATGTGCAGCGTGAGGGAGAAAGAGAAGTCAGGATGACCCCCAGTGTTTTGGTCTGAACAACAGAAAGACTAGAGAAGCCATTAGCTGAGATCTGAAGGACTGTTGGTGAGGGAGCATCCAGAGATGGTCAGAAGCTCTGCTTTGTTCATGTTGATGTGATCACATCCCAGTGGAGAATTTGAGTAGACTGTTGATTGACACAGAAGCCTAGAGTTCAGGGAGAAGTCTGAGCTAGAGACATAAACCTGTGAGTCATTAAGCTGTAGATGGTGTTTAAGGGGATTTAATGGATTAAATCACCTAAGGAGTGAGTGTAGATAAGAACAGAAGACTTTCAAAGATAGGCCCCAGGGCCCACCAGCAGCCTTAATGAGTAGAAACCAGAAAAGAAAAGTCCACAAAGAGGAAACAAAGTAAATGATTGCAAAAACCAAGAGAGAGAGAGAAGATAACCAGGAGATTGTTGGGAAGAAAGTGCACCAGGAATGGGATAGAGACAGCTGTGTCAAATGCTGCCAGGACATCAAGTGAGTTGAGACTGAGAACTGAACACTGGGTTTGATCATGTGGAGATCAGTGTGAACTTGACACGGCAGTGGACTAAAGGGCAGTCGAGTAGAATCCTGTTGGGAGGAAAAGAACTGAGACAGGGAATGCGATCCTGGAAATGAGTTTTGTTATAAAATAAAACTGAGAAATGGAGCAGGAACTAGAAGGAAATGTCAGATGAAGAGTTTTGGTTTTTTTGGTTTTTTTTTAAAGAAAGGAGTTGTAACAGGATATTTGTAGAAGATATTGCAAGATATTTGTATTTTCTTTGCTGTATCTAATAGAGAAGGAAAAATTGATGATAAATAATAAGGGAGAAGAATTTCTCTAGCAGTGTCCTAGGATCCAGTGCACAAGGCTAGGAGTTAGATTTAGATGGGGCATGGCAGTCATTTGCAGTAAGAAAAGGAAGAGTTTCTAGGGACAAATGCTGATAGATAGGCTGACGCTTCGTGGGAGCCTGTGGAAGATCTCTTTTGAGTTGAATCAATAGGCATCAGCTCAGGATGGAAGTCTGAGCTAAAGCTAGAGAAAGACAGTAGTTATCAGTCTGTAGAAGGTAGCTGAAAGTATGACGTAGAAGATCTGAGAGGGCATAGGATGAGATTGAAAGACAGTTATCAGCAATGTAGCTGCTGACCATAAGTACATGAGAAGGGAATAACCACAAGGATGGAAGAGGTGACAAATGGATTCAGAAGGGCAGGATTTGGCGAGAAGCATTCCAGGATCAGAGCAACAGTGATCATGTTAAAATAGAGTAAGAACGGTTTTAGCTAAAAATAGGAAAGATTCAATGGGACTAAGTGAAAGAAGGCTCTGATTGCCTTGATTCTTTTACACAAGGGAAGAACCTTAATGAGTGAAAGCGATGGTTAAGGTCACTATCAAATGATTTACAGTGTTGAGGTTTGGGGGGGAAGAGTGGAAGAGAGGGGCGACTGTAAGAGGAATGCTTGCTCACAGGCAGGACCCTGATAACGGGAACAGAGAGAGGGCTTTAAAACGAGTATTAGAAATAAAACTTGGAGGCCAGGCACAGTGGCTCAAGCCTGTAATCTCAGCACTTTGGGAGGCCAAGGCGAGAGGATTACCTGAGCCCAGGGTTTCAATACCAGCCTGGGCAACTCAGCGAGATATCGTCTCTACAATAAATCAAAAAGTTAGCCGGACATGGTGGTGTGCGCCTATGGTTCCAACTACTTGGAAGGCTGGGACAGAATGACCACCAGAGGCTGCACTGGCCATGAGCGTGCCTCTGCACACCAGCCTGGGTGACAGAGTGAAAACTCCAACTCAAAAAAATAAATAAAAAGAAAAATTATTTAAAACAATAAATAAATAAAACTTGGGCAGGGCTAATATACTCCTAGAGATTTTATTCCGGGATCTCTTCTTCCCTGAAAATTTGTCTCTTATGTACTTAGAAGAAGAATTATATTTGTTTTAATTAAAAACTTCAAACACTAAACTTCTTAATCCCATAGCAGTTCCAAACTGTCATTCAAATTATGTACAAGTACCTTGTTTAAAATCACTTATATCTGCAATCCTGATTCCTTCTACTCCTAATACCTTTGGCAATGAAATATTGAATTCAAGTTTATATTGATTTCAACATAATAAAAAAAACTGGTACATTTCCTGGAATTAGAGACTGGGAGAGCAAAGGGGATTTCCCATGTTTCCTCTTGATTCTATTCAGAAGGTCAGGTGAACCAAGACAAGCGTTTATAATTTCAACCTTAAATATGAAAATAGTTTCTTTCTTCTCATCACAAAGCAACCTGCTTATCTTACACAGAGTCTTTTTCTTCTTGTCCTCAGATGTTTTTCTGAAATGAATTTGTGTCTGATGAATATCACCTTAGGACATAAAGACATGTGGAAACACACTGGAGTATCCAGGAGAAGGCATATTCAGAAAAAAAGTTTATTGAAACCAAGGGACTTTGGATTATAGAGCAAAACCAAACCAAAACAAGATAAATCTTCAAAATATAAAATTTCTTAGATCAGCAGAGGATTAGAAAGAATCTCAAGAGAGAGAAACAGTGTTAATGAATCTAGGATCAGAGACTTAAACCTTAAAAGAAACTTTACATTTTAAATCAGTTCATAGTCAGCAATCCAAAGTTAGGCAAGGAAACTGAGCATAACAAATTTTTAAAAACGTACAGGGCTTAGCACAGTATAAAATTTCATGGGAGCAGCAGAGATTTGAAATGTGGCCCCTGTCTTTAGGAATTTATAAGGATGAGATGTCGAACAAAAAAAGAGACAATGAACACTTACTTTTAAAAAATTTTTATATTCATTTCTTTTTGAAACAGGGTTTCTCTCTTTCACCCAGGCTGAAGTGCAGTAATTCAAAGCAGCCTCCAAGTAACTGGAACTAAAGGCATATGTCACCATGCCTGGCTAATTTTTAATTTTTTTGTGGAGATGGAGACTCGTCAAGTCACTCAGGCTGGTCTCAAACTCCTGAGCTCAAGCTATCCTATTTCAGCCTCCTGAAACACTGGAATTATAGGTTACCTACCGCACTTGGCCTGAATACTTTTTGAATTATCTAATAGTCTGTCATGGAAGCAGGATTGGAGTTACTGTTTTAAACTGTAGAAGATAGATGAAGTAAATTGCATCTCAACAAGAGAGAATGTTCTAAAAAAATTGCAGTGTTCAAACATGGAATAGACTGACCTGTCAGTTAGCAAACTTCTTCATTCAACATCCATTCATGTACCGGGTTCCCACCACCTGTCCCACATGGGCTAGGGCGATGTGATTCAACAGTAAGCAAGACATTTCCCTTCCTCTCTGGGGTCACACCTGCAGGAGACATCAACTCTCGTTGATTATTGGACATGGATGTTTTGGAAGAAAGCATCAAGATTCTTTTTGATCTCTTTAGGAAGATAAAACATACATACAAAATTAAGTATCAGTATAAGATTTAAATTAAAAATCAAGACAAGAGCAAACAGTGAGACATTTAAAAGCACAAAAATATTTTGCTGTAAGAGTTCAGAAACATTACTTAGGTCTGGGGTGGATTTGGGAGAACCCTATGCAGAGCTGGAGTTTAATAGATGGAGAGCAAAGACCTTTCCAGGAGAAAAGGGCAGACAGGCATTCAAGTAGAGTACTAAACAAATCATTGCTGTGACAACTACCTTCTAACACAGTCCAATATTGTCCCTATTAGTAGAAATGTTGGTTTACCAGGAAAATGTATTTTATTTCATGAAAAGAGTTCAACTGCCATTGTGTTTTGGACTGGGGTGCATCATTTGGGTGACTCATTAATCCTACTTTTCAAGTTGGGCTGACCTCTGAACAATGTCAACAAAAGGGCTGTTCACTTGGGTTGATCCAGGTGCATACTTCTGACTGTCAGTTTTCTTGCACAACATCCTTTCTCAATGCTGAGTTGTGTAATGTACTTGTGAGAAAATATAAACAGCTGGTTGCCAGAAGGGATCGAATGCAAAGCTATTCTAGGGAAATAAAACATAAGAAGGTGAGTTTGTTTCTTCAAGTTTGCTAATTTTTAGTTATGATCAGATCACACTTTCTAGAATGCGTGGCTGTTGTTGCTATCTGTGTCCTAAGTGTCGGTGCGCTGGACACGTTTATCGCTGCAGTGTATGAGCATGCAGTTATACTACCAAACAGAACAGAAACACCTGTTTCAAAAGAAGAAGCTTTGCTCTTGATGCACAAGAACATAGATATTTTGGAGAAAGCAGTTAAGCTGGCAGCCAAGCAGGTATTTCCCTTTTTATACTTACAAGGGAGATTTGCAACTTGGTAAGAGTGAATATTTGGAATTCACGAGAAGCTTTTTCATCTCGTTTGTTTTGAGCAGGGTGCACAAATCATTGTGACCCCAGAAGATGGAATCTATGGTTGGATCTTCACCAGGGAGAGCATTTACCCCTATTTGGAGGATGTACCAGACCCTAAAGTGAACTGGATTCCATGTAGAGACCCCAAGAGGTAATATGTCATTACTCCTTGATTTTGGAACAAAAAGTTGTGATTTTGTAAAATAGCAATAGAAAATTCAGTAAGCTTGACTAGTAATTTCATTGACAAGTAGTCCATCTGTGACATATGATTTAGAGTTTCTAATGCTTCCTGATTTTTATCTACTGACATATCTCCTGTTTGGTATGTGACTTGGAATCATGATGCTTGGTTGGTTATTCATTGCAATTGTCTATCAAGAGTAGTATGTGTGTACAGAATTTTTATAATAAATTTATCTAACTGGGTTTCAATAAAGTGAGTAAAAGCTGTAGTATCTAGGATCTGTGTTCCCCGATAAATACAAGTAAGTTGGTTCATTCATGAACACCTACCTCCTTCATAAGAATAGTAAAAAAAAAAAGAATGAGTAAATCTGTTTCCAAATTACCTTGCTGTCTATACCATGTATAATGTAAGCCATATGGCAAGTGGAAATTGCATAGGATTTGTAAAAGAAAGCACTATTTCTGAGGACACATTTGACAAACTCCTAACTGTGAGTGTATAACCTAAATGCTTAACATTTATGTTTATCTGTAAAAGAGGGCTAATAAATTTCCTGTCCTACTTTCCTCACAGCACATACAAGAGTGTCAAATGTAGTGATACACATGGAATATGTACACTGTGGTGTTCTCTCCAATGGTAGTATGTCAGTATTTTAGTAATTCCTTTTTTTCATCTGCAAATAGGATGCCAAGCTTTGAGTAATTATTAATAGCTGTAATTTAGGCACAACTCTCTTAATAAAAGTATGTATAATAACTAAGAAAAATCTATGAAATAGATTATTTTAGGTGTATTTACTTTTAAAAATAGTTTGTAGGTACTTTAAATGGCAGAATGGATGCATTAAAAAACTGTTTAATTTGCTAATTTTAAATTTACACACATCTATTTAGAACTATATTCCACAGAAAGAGAAACTTCTTTGATAATCGTCATCATGTAAAATTAATTAGATAGTCAAGTCCAGTGCTACAACATACAAGTTCTGCTATGTAAATTGGGCCTCACTCTGGGATTTTTAGCTTTGTAAAAATAGTCTCTAAATGTTGCATAATCTGTGCTTACAAAAACCATGTAACTATGACCCAACATCCACTCGCTTATGAAGCTTTTCCCAGAATAGGTAGGAGTCATTATTTGCCGTAATTCATGAAGGTTACAGTAAAAAATGCACTCTATTTGACTGGGTTAATAAGGCTTACTTTCCTAGAGGAAAGACATCCATAAATCTGATAATTAGTTATAGATGAATTACTTTATGTTAGGAAGGCAAGTGACTGATGAGAGTTTAACAGTATGGAGTCTTGCACATATTGAAATGACAAACTTTTTATTCCATGTTAAAAAGGACAAGTCCAGTATATTTCATAATGGTAATATTGGAAAAGAAATTCATACTTTCTTCCCTACTAATATTTGTCAATAGGATTAAAGACCTAAACATAAAACCTCAAACTACACAAATCTTAGAAAATGTAGGAGACACCCTTGTGAAAATTGGAACTGGCAACCAATTCCTTATTAAAACCCCAGATGTTCATGCCATAAGAGATAAGATAAACAAGTGGGACTTCATCAAACTGAAAAGCTTCTGCAAAGCAAAAGAAACCATCAAGAGAGCAGGGAGACAGCCCACAGAATGGGAAAAAATATTTGCCAACTCTATGTCAGATAAAGGCCTAACATCCAGGATCTACAAGGAACTCAAATGTGTCAAAAGGAAAAAACAACAACAACAAGCAGCCCCATTTAAAAACGGGCAAAAGATATGAAAAGATACTTCTCAAAAGAAGACATACGAGCAACCAACAGAAAATGTGAAAAAATGCTCAGCCTCACTAATCATCAAAGAAATGCGAATCAAAACCACGCTGAGATATCCCCTAACTCGAATCAGGATGGCCATCATCAACAACTCAAAAAACAACAGATGCTGGAGAGGATGCAGAGAAAAGGGAGTGCTTCTACACTGTTGGTGGGAGTGTAAACTAAGACAATCTTTGTGGAAAACAGTGTGACGAGTCCTAAAAGATCTGAAAATTGATCTTCCATATGACTCAGCAGTCCCCCTTTTGGAAATATACCCGGAGGAACTAAAATCATTCTATAAAAAAGATACCTGTCCCCACATGATTATTGCAGCATTATCCACAATAGCAAAAACATGGAACCAGCCGAGATGCACATCAAAAATGGACTGGATAAAAAAATGTGGTACATATTCATGATAGAATATTACCCAGCCATAAAGAAGGTCAAAATCATGAACTTTGCAGCACCTTGGGTGGATTTAGAGTCTATCAGACTCAGTGATCTATCACAGAAGCAAAGAACTGAGTACCACATGTTCTCACTTATAAGCGTACCCTGAACACTTATCATAACACTATAAGAAAAAGGTTGGCAGTAGTGGGACGCCACCAGGGGAGGGAAGGAAGGACACATAACATCAAAAAGGGTACCTGATTTCAAACCAGGTAAAGTGGGGACCAAAGGGAGGACCAAACTTTACCTATATGATGATTACTTATCTACCTAATCCTGAATTGTACCCCTCATCTTTAAAACAAAAAGAATTAATTTAATTTAAAAAAGGACAAATCCAGTATTTATTGTAACAGTAATATTGGAAAAGAAAGCCATAGTTTTCTCCCTAGTAATATTTGTCCCTGAAGGGGATAATAGAGGGCCATGTGATCATCCTTGTGTATATAAATACTACTCTTTACAATGCTGGTATGTTTTATTTTTTATTTTAAAGATGTGGGGTACAATTCAGGGTTAGTTACACAAATGTTCATTATGCAGGTACCTTTGTTGATGAGGTATGCCCCTCCCTCCCCAAATGCTGACATGTTAAACACTTCCTTGGACTTTTGACATGAGAAACTAATAGGAAATACCAAGCAATTCAAATTATTTAGCTAAGAAACAGGAAAATTAGACAAAGTACATGATAGAGTAATTAAAGATCTTAAAGAATATGAATATTGATGATATTTTCCCATTCCTGTTTTCCTGAAGAAAAAAGAAACAATGTAAACCAGTAGGTCATTAACCTGTCCTTTATTTTCAAAGATTAGCTCAACATCAATTGCAGAGAGACGGTGAGATCATGGAGAATCCTGAATGATCTCTAGAAGCAGTAAAGCCATCACAGCCTTGGGCTGCCTTCTTGTAATTACAAAATTCATAACAGCCATTTTTTATTTATTGAGCACTTACTTGGTCCCAAGAACTGTACCTGGTATACTAGACACATTATCTCATTTAATTTAGGTAGTTAGTATTACTACTTGCATTGTAAATATGAGAAAAAAGAAATGCTTGTGCTCTCATGATTGGTCATTAGATTGGCTGAAATTAAACAGTCATTTCCATTAAGTTATGCTAACTGAATGGTCTCTGAGTGTCTGAATGCACCATATTATAGTGAAGTTTTTAGTGACTAGCAAATCCACTTATTTGACAGAGTGGACTGGTGGCAAATACCTTTAAAGCTTCTTTTCTGCTGAAATCTGTCTCTCTGTAACTTCCTTTCTTCTGTGTTCTATACTCTGTGGTACATTCATATATAGAATTCAGATCCTTCAGATTAAACCCTTCAAATATTTGAAGTCAGCTATCACCTTGTCATATTCTCTTCCTGTTTTGAGGATAAATAGGCCCAATATGAATGGATTTACTGTTTCTTTGGAAAGCAATTTCATGTCTACAGTTATCTCAGTATTTCTCCTCAGTATTTCTCCTATGGGTCCTTTAAAGCATAAAGGAATCCAGATGCGGTGGCTCAAGCCTGTATTCCCAGCACTTTGGGAGGCCGAGTTGAGAGGATTGCCTGAGCCCACGGGTTTGAGACCAGGCTGGGCAACTTGGTGAGACCTCATCTCTACAATCAATCAAAAAATCAACCAAGCGTGGTGACACATGCCTGTAGTTCCAGCTACTTGGAAGACTGAGGCAGAAGAATTGCCTGTGCCCAGCAGGTCAACATTGGGGTGGCCATGAGCGTACCACTGCACTCCAGCCTGGGCGATGGAGTGAGTCTCCAACTAAAAAAAAAAAAAAGCACAAAGGAAGCTATTATGTTACATTTGACAGATGAGGAAACTGAGCCAGCACAGTGGAGTACCTTTTTACTTTTTATTTTATTTTTAAAATATTTCCACTACCAAATGCTGCATTTGTTCTCTGTAGAAGATGATCTATAGGGGATCAACTATTTACCGCCACCTGGTATTTCTGTTTCCAACCACATTTCATATCAGCAAAGTTGTACAATTGTGGCTTGGATTACAGACAAGGTCCTTCCCATTAGAAGAGTCTGCTAAATCTCAAGCCCTTCATTTATTTTCCCGAGAGCACTTTATAAGAGAAAGTGTTGCTTCTCTTCCTCCGCTTTTACTTCCTATGTCTTTTCTGTGCTTCGACATTGCATTACAATCTGGAGTCTGGTGTGTTAAAATAGGTTGACCTTCTTGAAGAAGAACACTATATTGCATATGAGCTTTTAAATACTTCTGTTGATTCTTGCCCTAAAGCTGTTATGTTATAGGTAATGGGCAAGTAAATTATCACCTGGTATTTCAGAAATAGCTAAAATATAACAAGTTGTGGAAATGTCTATTGAAATAGATTTGGCTACACACCAGTTCTAGAAAGACTCAGCTGCCTGGCCAAGGACAACTCTATCTATGTCGTGGCAAATATTGGGGACAAGAAGCCATGCAATGCCAGTGACTCTCAGTGTCCCCCTGATGGCCGTTACCAATACAACACTGACGTGGTCTTTGATTCTCAGGGTAGACTGGTGGCACGCTACCATAAGGTGAGACTTGTGCCTGAGCTAAATTTGATTTACTTCTTTTGTTTGTTTGTGTTATGCATGTACATTTGTTCATTAAATGCTAAAGAGAGAACTGTTATAGATGCAGCTCTTAACTATTACATTTTAGTTGAAAGGGAATTTAATTTACTTCCATTCTGTATAAGGATTCTGAGTTTGAATAAAATAGAGTATAGCAGAATATTAAAACGGATGTGATAATAACCTCACAAAGATTTTTATATTCTCCAAGAAAGGAGTAGAAATTCTCTGTTTCATGAATGATTTAATATCAGAATAAGTTTTTTGGCCTAATTTGTTAACATTTTATATCAAGCCACCACACAAAGTTTATTTTAACACATATTAGACGTCACATAGGCAGTGCTGTTAAAATTTTAAAAATACAGTGGAAAACAAACTGAACATTGTGTGATTCAAGATTTCTTTTATTTATTAATTATCTTTTATTTATTTATTTATTTATTTATTTATTTATTTATTTATTTATTAGGGATGTGTGCTCACCAAGTTGCCCAGGCTGGTCTTGAACCTGTGTGCTAAGGCGATCCTCCTACATCGGCCTCCCAAAATGCTGGGATTATAGGTGTGAGCCACCTCGCCTGGCCAGATTCAAGATTTCAACTTTTTATTTTAAGATAGAAATTTTCACGTTTTAAACATCATTTATGGATATGATTGTATTCACTAGTTGTGAAAAGTGAAGTTTTTTGGTTGATTCACAGTAAGAAAATTCAGACATTAGTGTAGTTGTGATTTATGCACATTTGTGTGTAAGTTTTAAACATGCATGTTTATATACACAGTAGGAAAATGTATGGGTAGCGACCACATCTATTTGGCAACTTTGTTACTAATTTTTCCCTTCTTTGCTTTTCATTAACAGTACAATCTTTTTGAACCTGAAATTCAATTTGATTTCCCCAAGGATTCAGAATTTGTGACTTTTGACACTCCATTTGGGAAGTTTGGTATTTTTACTTGCTTTGACATTTTTTCTCACGATCCAGCTGTGGTGGTAGTGGATGAGTTTCAAGTGGACAGTGTTGTCTACCCCACAGCATGGTACAACACCCTGCCCCTCCTCTCTGCTGTTCCGTTCCATTCGGCCTGGGCCAGAGCCATGGGAGTCAATCTACTTGCTGCGAATACCCACAACACAAGCATGCACATGACAGGTAATGCTTGCTGGTCATGTACCAAGTGGCAATGACAGTCTTCGTTGATTTTCAAGTCATTCTTTTCATCTCTGATATTGTAACATTAATAATAGCATGGCGTTCTACTTAAGGAACATCATCTTTGGGAATAAAGGAGGCAAACATTATCATCTCTGTTTTACTGGAAGGGCAAAGGGACTTAGAGAGAAGTTAAGTCATATAAAAAAAATCAAAGCCAAGACTAAGGAACTTCCCAGACGATGTCGGTTAGTAATACTGAAATAATCTTGTCGTTGAGCTGATAAAATCACTTTCAACTTAATCAGATTTTTAGATTTTTGCCCTTTCTGTAGTATCCATGTTCAAGGCAGTGCAAGCTTTCCTCATGACTGCTTTGTTATTTGTTAATCCAGATGAAAAATGTCAAACAAATAAATAGTGGAGAGCTAAAATTATTCTACATGTTTGCGGAGTTTTCTAGCTTGCTATTAAGTTGGCCTAAAAAGGGGAAGCTTAAGTTAAAAAACAAAAGAAACAAAAACAAGCTCTCTGTGACATTTCATATGACATGGAAGAAGTAGAATCCAACTGGAACTTATGCTAAACTTATGCCAATATCTCCATAATTATCCTGAAAATGCTTACACTTTAATACCTTTCTAGGTAATATCACATGGGAATATTCTATTAGTTGGTCATCATAAAAATGTGAAACCAGTATTTGTGTTTCTTTTGTTGACTGTAGGTAGTGGAATCTATGCCCCAGAAGCAGTCAAGGTGTATCACTATGACATGGAGACAGAGAGTGGCCAGCTGCTGCTATCAGAATTGAAGTCTTGGCCTCGCCGTGAGCCCACCTACCCTGCGGCTGTTGACTGGAGTGCTTATGCCAGAAGTGTCAAGCCATTCTCCTCCGAGCAGTCAGATTTTCCAGGGATGATTTATTTTGATGAGTTTACTTTCACGGAGCTTAAGAGAAACACAGGAAATCATTCAGTTTGCCAGAAAGACCTCTGTTGCCACTTAACCTACAAGATGTCTGAGAAGCGAGCAGATGAGGTCTATGCACTAGGTGCTTTTGATGGACTACACACAGTAGAAGGCCAATATTACTTGCAGGTAGAAATGCTGAAATGCATTAGAATGGCCTTATTTGTTTTTCTTCTGGGTCATCATCGTCTGCCTTTGAAAATTGTGCTGGATTCAGTTAATTCGTATAATGTTACCTTTATCACTGGATTTTTCCCACAGAACATTTTATTTGTTCAGTTTTGCAAGAACAGAATTAGTTCTCTTGGCTGCAAGGCAAAAAAATAAAATTGGTTGACCAGTTTTCAGCAGACCAGGTTCAGGTCTTAAAAGCTACAACTGGGCATTCTCTTTTTCCATCAGGTTACTTTACAGCAGTGTTTTTTAAACTGTCTTCAACTAGAGCCCAGAATAAGAAGGATATTTACACCATGATCTAGTATAGCTCAGTGGACGTGTAACTGAGTCAAAAGAGATATTTAATTGAAACCGTTTATCAACTAATTTAAATTAGAATGAAAAAAGTTATAATTATGTACAATTCACTATGATTTTTGTGATTCTGGTCTTTTGTATTTGATTTTATTATTATTATTCTTTTTTTTGAGTCAGAGTCTCACTGTCGCCCTGGCTGGAGTGTAGTGGCATGCTCACAGCTACCGCTGCCTGTACCTGCTGGGCTCAGGTGATCCTTCCGCTTCAACCTTTCAAGTTGCTGAAACTACAGGCACGCACCACCACCCTCAGCTAATTTTTTAATTTACTGTAGAGATGAGGTCTCACCATATTGTCCAGGCTGGTCTCAAACGCCTGGGCTCAGGCAATCCTTTAGCCTCGGCCTCCCAAAGTGTTGGGAATACAGGCATGAGCCACCGTGCCCGGCTGTTATTTAAAGCTAATCCTAGTGATTTTAGGATTCACTAATAAGATGTGACCTACAGATTGAAGGTACTGCTTAGCTGGGCTCGGTGGCTCAGCCTGTAATCCCGCGCCTTTGGGAGGCTGAGGTGTGTGGATTGCCTGAGCCCGCGGGCTCAAGACCCGCCTGGGCAGCGAGACCTCATCTCTACAATAAATTAAAAAAAAAATCAGCCGGGCGTGGTAGCGCATGCCTGTAATTCCGGCTACCTGGAAGGCTGAAGTGGAAGGATCACCGGAGCCCAGCAGGTGGAGGCTGCGGTGGCCGGGAGCATCCACTGCACTCCAGTCTGGGCGAGGGAGTGAGACTCCAACTCAAAAAAAGAGAGAAAGTACTGCTTAAGCACCCACTTAAATATTCATCGATTCTTTGAAAAGATGTTATTTAGTTATGAAAATGTTTGCAGGTTTTCTGACTCCTCTTTTCTCTTCCTACATAGATATGCACATTACTGAAGTGCCAAACCCCTGACCTGAGAACTTGTGGGGAGCCTGTGGGATCAGCTTTTACCAAGTTTGAAGAATTCTCCCTCAGTGGCACATTCAGCACGCGTTATGTTTTCCCACAGATCATTCTAAGTGGGAGTCAGCTTGCTCCTGAAAGCCATTATGAGGTAGGAGGATTTCAAGATGTTACATTTCTCCAAGTGGATGGGGTAAGCCAGCATAAGAAAAATCTTTGAAATACTGGGAGTGTCACAATATCATGGTTCACATTCTGCCAGAGATACTTTACTTTCAAGATGTGGAAACTCTGATATGGAACACAAGGTGTGGTTTTAGATAGGCTTTAGGCTCTGATAGAAATTCTGGGGTTTTTTTTTTTTTTGCATAAATGTGGTGTTGAGATCGAAGGCAACAATGAATTTATGCCGAAACTAAAAAATATTGATCACTGTTAATGGCAACTAATCTTCCTCTCATTTATTGGTGTAGAAGGCTCAAGGTAAATACACTAAATAATGAATCTACAATTTATCTTGGGAGGATGTTATTTTGATAAACTGTTGTAGTGATAGTACAATGAAGACTTTGTATAGTGTTTCATGAGTTTGAATAATTCTTTTTTATACATTATCTTACTTAACCACCTATGCAACAGATTTATTTGCCACACTTTCACCCAAAGTCCCTCTGCTATTAGATTTGAAACATGAGCCTAGGTCTTCTGACATGAAATCCTGTGTGATTTTTTAATTTTATGCTACTTTAGGAGTGACACTGCCGGAGAAGGCTTCCGGGCTGGAAATCAAGCCCTCCATTAGAGCTAATCCTTTGCTTTCTTTGACCAGGTTTCAAGAGATGGACGTCTGAGGAGCCAAAATGGAGTCCCTTTGCCGGTCTTAGTAATGGCCCTGTATGGAAGAGTGTTTGAGAAGGATCCTCCTCGCTTAGGGCAGGGACCCAGGAAGTTACAGTGATCTCCTTTACCAGAATTCTTTCAGAATTAGCGTGGCAATTAGAGGAAGAAGAGGAAGAGAGCCCTTAGTGTCTGTGTGGAAGAGGTCAAAAACTTACTGAAACATGAAATAAACTTAAGAAGATTTAAAAAGTTGTGGATGTATGTGCAAATTTCACATTTTGGTATAGGATAAACTCGTTTATGGGTGCTGCATTCATCTTCTGTGTATGTGTAAAGTTTAAGTACATGCAAGTATGTGCATGTTTGTGAAACACGTATTTAAATGGAAGGAGGACCCAGGAAAAGCCTTTTGCCATAATGACTCTCACATGTGCAAATGCTGTTTCCATCATGTTATGGTTACTTTTAGGTGTCAGCTTGCCTGGGCCATGGGATGCCCAGATACCTGGCTAAATGTTGCTTCTGGGTGTGTCTGTGAGGGTGTTTTCGGAAGAGATGAGCATTTGAATCATTGGGTTGAGTAAAGCAGGTGGCCCCCTCTGATGTGGATGGGCATTGTCCAGTCCATTGAGGGCCTGAATGGAACACAAAGGTGGAGCACGGTTAGATTATTTTTGCCTGAGTGCTTGAACTAGACATTGATCTCCTGCCTTCAGCTGCTCCTGGTTCTCAGGCCTTGAGAATGAGAGTGGAATCAATACCATCAACTCTCCAGTTTGCTGGTTTTCCAACTGCATCACTGACTTTCTTGGGTCTCCAGCTTTCAAATGGCAGATTGTGGGACTTTTCAGCCTTCATGATCGTGTGAGCCCATATATTATAATAAATCATATATATATGTATATATAATATATGGTGTCAAAAATGTATACACATTTTAAGAGATGTTATCTATGTATTACTTTTTGAAACTGAATTGAAGTATGGTAGCAATGTGCAGTATGACATTCACTCAACTGTGCTTCTGCCATTTTCTTTGGCTGTGCTGCCTGTTGCATGGTGAAGCTAGCGTTCATTTGATTAACACCATTTGTTGAGTGAACGTCATACTTAAAATGTGTATACATATTTTTGCCACCCCGGGTATTCATCTATATAATCTCCCATTGGTTCTGTTTCTCTGGAGAACTCTGACTAATACACTGCATTTGTAAATACACAGGGTGAACTTTGGATATGCAGGGAGTATTTTATCCCAGTCAATTAAGATACATAAAGTTAAAGAACAAAGGCATCTTTCAAGATAATCATGAATAACTTTTTAACAATTTAAATTGTTCTATTATCTCTTTATCATGATTTATTTGACTCTTATGATTTGTTTGCTTGGAAACTAGATACTTGGAATGGAAATAAAAAAGAAGTAAATTATCTCCTTTAGCCATACCTCTTTTCCTTATAAAATGTTTCTACCCCCAAATCTACCCAATCCTGGTTGAATCCCCTCCCAGTTCTCAGGGGTCTGTTGCAGCCTGTGATAGGCTAAGAACTTTCTAGACAGGGCCATCGTGTCACCTTTCCCCCAGTTACTTTTGATCCATTGCCTTGACTCTCTGAGTCCTTTTCTGATAGGTCACTAATTAACCCTGGAAAGAGGCACACTGGAGAGCAGGCGAATTTTCTGGGATGTATAAAAGCGAGGGTCATGAGTTTGGAGATATCTTATCCTCCCAAAGGGTATGTAAATGCATTCCTGGACTTTTCCTAAGTGTTTATGCTCACTCAGTGTAATTCAATGCAGTACTAGGAAGTCAGAGAGATTCCGAGCAGCAGAAAATACTCTTGGTCTCCCTGACCCATCTTTCCCGGATTTTTTCTCTGGGGCTGTGACTGTTGAGTCCTAGGACTGTATCTGTGCTCCGGGAGTCCTCTCTTCCTGCAGGATGTGGGCATCTTCCCTCTTTCCACCTTTCATTGACTCCTTCTAGGCTTCTTTCTTCTCTCTCCTAGACAGTTGCCTGAAGACTGCATCATGCTGTTTCTAGTCCCAGCTTCCTCAGCACTCCTTACTTCATGCAATCCTACGTGAGCCAACTCCTACCCTTGTGTCTTCATTAAAGGAAACTTCAAAATCAAACCTAGTGGTCAGTTCTCAGCTCTTACTCTCCATGACAAAATAACTGAGCTGCCCCTCTTGAAGTTGTTTTACCTTTCTTCTTTTAATACTTCATGCCTTTTATTTTCTTTGACCTCTTGCCTCACCTCCCTCCCTGCCTCTCATTTTATTTACCAAGACTTACAAATGAGGAGTTCTGCTAGACTTTGCTCTCCCAGATATGTCTTCCTTACCTAAAATCTTTCTATGGAAAGCAAAGCCACCCTTACGGATTCAATTAGTATTTCTGATATAGCAGAGTATAATCTGTTGGTGAGGAAAATTCTTTTTTTTTTTTTTGAGTTGGAGTCTCACTCTGTCGCCCAGACTGGAGTGCAGTGGCAGCTCCTGGCCACCGCAGCCTCCACCTGCTGGGCTCCGGCGATCCTTCCGCCTCAGCCTTCCAAGTAGCCGGAATTACAGGCATGCGCTACCACGCCCGGCTGATTTTTGATTTATTGTAGAGATGAGGTCTCGCTGCCCGGGCGGGTCTCGAACCCACAGACTCAGGCAATCCACTCACCTCAGCCTCCCAAAGGCGCAGGATTACAGGCTGAGCCACCGAGCCTGGATTTTTTTTTTTTTTTTTTTCATGAGAGCCAGTTTAGGCCACATCATAATGTTTGGGGGGGGCTACATTAAAAAATGCAAAAACAGGCTGGGCAGGGGGGCTCACTCTTGTCATTCCAACACTTTGGAAAACTGAGATGGGAGGATCGTTTAAGCCTAGAAGTTTGAGACCAGCCTGAAAAGCATAGAGACCCCTATATCTACAAAAAAATACAAAAATTAGTTGCACATGGTAGCACACATCTGTAGCCCTAGCTACTCAGAAGGCTGAAGTAGGATGATCACTTGAGCCCAGGAGTTTGAGACTGCAGTGAACTATGATTGCACCATTGCACTCCAGCCTGGGGGACAGATCGAGACCCTGTCTCAAAAAAAAAAATTAATAAATAATGCAAAAATAGTTTTATTATGTACTATATATGTGTGTGAATGTGTGTGGTGTGTGTGTGTGTGTGTGTGTGTGTGTGTGTCTGTTTTGAATAGGAATCTCA